TGTTAGAGCCTGGCTGATGTCATTATCTCTCCAGATTCCCTCAAAGACTTTGGGAGACGAGATTTGGTCCCCCTTTTACAAACGAGGGAACGGAGGCTCTGGAACTGACTTCCTGAATGGCTTGGATCCAAAGCTCCCTCAGTTCAGCCGCCACGTCTGTTTCCCTCAGACACAGCGATCCTTGAACCTGTGGGCTGTATCTCCCCGTGGAGAGAATCCCAAGAGAGTGGGGCTCCCACAGGTCAGACGCTAATTCTGCCGCCTCTGACTGGGAGTCTCTGCCAGGGCCACGTTGTACCTGGGGGATGATGATGTCAGCCCCCGATCTCTCCACCCTCGCCCCAGGCCCTGGAATGCTGGGTGGGGGGCCAGGCCAGCCTCCCGCTCCTGCGCTCCTGGCCTGTGCAGCCTTGTCCTGTGCCTGTGCTGGCTCCCAGGGCTGGATTCTCCGGACTCCACACAAGAATGAGCTCAGCCTCCTAACTGCGGCTGAGCATGGAGGGCCACCCTACCCCAGGGCTGCAGCTCCAGCACCTCCTCTCCTCCCCCCTCCTCCCCTCCCCTCCCCTCCCCTCCCCTCTCCTCTCCTCTCCTCTCCTCTCCTTCGACAGAGTTTTGCTCTTGTCACCTGGGCTGGAGTGCAATGGTGCGATCTTGGCTAAGTGCAACCTCCACTTCCCAGGTTCAAGCTATTCTCCTGCCTCAGCCTCCTGAGTAGCTGGGATTACAGGTGCGTGACACCACGCCCAGCTAATTTTTGTATTTTTAGTAGAGATAGGGTTTCACCATGTTGGCCAGTCTGGGCTCGAACTCCTGACCTCAGACTCTGCTCGGACTCTCAAAGTGCTGGGATTACAGGCGTGAGCCACTGCGCCCCGCCACCACCTTTGTGTCTGAACAGGCTGCTAAGAGGCCCTGGTGCTCAGGCTGGGCTCTTGCTATGGAGGGGCCCCTGGGGAGGCTCTCAATGTGTCCAGCCTGAGCCCCAGGCCCTGGGTGGCTGGGATGGAGGCAAAATACACTCCTGGGGTTTTGGCCTGAAATTCAAGGGCCAGGGTCCGAGCCCCACTTCAGCCTGGCTATAATGGGCTACCCCGTCTCCATCCAGACCAGACCCTTTACCCGACCCATGGACACCCTGGTTGTCACCACTACCAGCATCTGCCAGTTCCCCACCTCTGGGTCTGTCAACGGCCTGTGGACACCTGGCGGGGGTTTCTCCTGGGTGTCATCTGTCAGTGTTGGGGGTGCCTTTCGGGCCACCAGCCTCCTGGGAGCCAGCAGCTGTGGCAACATGTCCGTCACCTCCTCCTGCTTCTTGGCAGGATTTCAGGGAGGCTACAGCGGTGGCCACATCTGCAACCTGGGTGGGGGCTTTGGCTCCAGCGTTGGCATGGCAGATGCCCTGCTGGGGGGCGATGAAAAGGAGACCATGCAGAACCTTACTGACCACACACACATCACACATCACACACCTACACACACACACATCACACACGTACACACACACAAACACCACACACATACCACACACATCACACACATACACACAAACACGACACACACATCACACACGTACACACACACAAACACCACACAAACCACACACACATCACACCCATCACACACATACACACACACAAACACCACACACACCACACACACCACACACATACACACACAAACACCACACACACCACACAGTACACACACACAAACACCACACAAACACCACACAAACCACACACACATCACACCCATCACACACATACACACACACAAACACCACACACACCACACACACCACACACATACACACACAAACACCACACACACCACACAGTACACACACACAAACACCACACACACCCCATACACACATCACACACATACACACACACAAACACCACACACACACCACACAGGTACACACACAAACACCACACACGCATCACACACATACACACACAAACACCACACACGCACCACACATGTACACACACACAAACACCACACACACACACAAACACCACACACACATCACACACATACACATAGACACCACACACACCACACACATCACACATACACACACAAACACCACATACACACCACACACACACACAAACACCACACACATCACACACACACACAAACACCACACACACCACACAGTACACACACACACCACACAGTACACACACACACAAACACCACACACACCACACAGTACACACACACACAAACACCACACACACCACACACGTACACACGCACAAACACCACACACACATCACACACACACACAAACACCACACACACCACACAGTACACACACACACAAACACCACATACACACCACACACGTACACACACACAAACACCACACACACATCACACACATACACAAACACAAACACCACACACACATCACACACATACACAAACACCACACACACCACACAGTACACACACACACAAACACCACACACACACACCACACAGTACACACACACACGAACACCACACACCACACACGTACACACACACAAACACCACACACACATCACACACATACACAAACACCACATGCACCACACACACATCACACACACACACACACCACACACATCACACGTACACACACACAAACACCACACATACCCCACACACATCACACACACACACACCACACACACCACACAGTACACACACACAAACACCACACACACACCACATACATACACACACACAAACACCACACACACATCACACACATACACACACAAACACCACACACACCACACATGTACACACACACAAACACCACAGACACATCACACACATACACAGAAACACCACACACACACCACACATACCACACATACATCACACACACACCACACACACCACACACATACAAACACCACACACACACCACCCACACATACCCCACACCACACACGCCACACACATTCCATATGCACCACGCACATACATACACACTACACACACACCATACACATATGTACCCACAGTCACCCACATACCACACACCACACACACACACCACATACATATAAACACGACACACCACACACCACACACATCACACACCACACACACATACCCCACACCACACACGCCACACACATTCCATATGCACCACACACATACACACTACACACACACCATACACATATGTACCCACAGTCACCCACATACCACACACCACACACACCACACACACACACCACACACATATAAACACGGCACACCACACACATCACACACCACACACACATCACACACCACACACACCCCACACACCACACACACCCCACACACCACACATACCACACACACACACACACACACATACACACACATGCATACACACTCTCATGACCTCTAAGAACATGGCTTTGGCATTCTGTAAACATGGCCACTGTCTTCTGCACAAACCCTGCCCTGGAGGGTCCTACAGAGCAATGCCACCAGTGCCAGGTGAGGGGTGCAAGCGATGAGTACAGTGGCCAGGGGGGCCAAGGGAGCCAGGGGAGGCAGGGGGACCAGGGGGACCGGGGAGCCAGGGGAGCCAGGCGGGAGCCAGGTTAGGCCCAGCTGGCCCTGGCGGTTAGGCCTGCTCAGTTTCCTGGGTGGAGAGCCAGGCCTGGTGCTGCCTACGAGGGGCTTTGTCTGTTCCTGCCCGGGACCTCCACTAGGTGGGAATTCCTACAATTTCCCCTTGGAAGCAGAGATACTGGCAGTGCCAGATCAGATATTGGGGTTGGTCCTGGCAGCGGGGAACCCAGGGAAACCCTGGTGAGTCAGTGCTCCTGATGTTGGGACCAGCCAGCGCCTCATCACCGCCCCTTGCTGTGCCCCCAAAGCCTCCTGAGCAAGGAGATGGGGGCTGGGTGGGTCTCTGCCAGATGCAGATGGGCCCACTGAGGCAGAGGAGGGGGTGCTGGGAACAAACTGGCCCTCGGCTCAGCCTGACCCAGGGTCACTTCACAGAACTTAGGGCCTCGAGTAGGGTCTGGGAGGGGTTGCACAGGATGAGCCTGTGGGGGCTACTAGTGTGTCCTGGGGCTTCTCCCTCTCAGGCCTTGGGTGGTCAGCCCTGAGCCTCAGCAAATTCCAGATTCTACACGCACATGTGTCACCTTCACAAGTGCTTCAACTTCTGGGTTGCTGGAGGGGCCTCACTCTTTGGTGCATGCCCATGACCTCAATTGGAACCCCTCTTGGGCATTTCCAACCATGCCAACAACAGCAGCAGTAATCACAACCAACCTTATGCTTCTTCTGGGCCCCTCCCTCCGTGTTTGCATTGAAACCGCCCAGATGACCTTGTGGGAAAAGAAAGCTTTGCCCTAGGTTTGAGGTGAGGCCAGTCATAACCTCATTAATTAATTAACGAATCACTTAATTAAACTAACGAACCCTCGGGGCCAACTCTGGGCCAGGGCACTGTGCCCAGGGCTGGGGATTCCAAAGAGAAGGAAACAGACATGGCTTTGTCTCCCTGGAGCTCACAGTCCAGTGGAAGAGGAAATAACCAAAAAAGTCATAGAAATAGGTATAAATTCACAAGCTGGAGAAGGAAGGAGGTATGACCCAGAAAAGAGATGCAGAAGGGAATCCAGGAGGGCTTTCTGGAGGAGGTGGCAGCTGAACCTAGAGGTGAATTTAGTTGGGAAAGAGGGAGTGAGGCCTAGGCAGCCATGACCCCCATGGTGGCAGACAGCTGCATAAGGGTCTCTCTCCTGGCATCCGTGTTTACCCGTGCCTGGGCATCCTACCCCCATCACCCTTTAACCCCCTGAGGGCCTTGGCTGGGTCCCAGAAATTCCCAGGAGGGTGCTCAGAGAAGACCACGGGCACTCTCATCACCCTCACCCTGGCTCATTTCTGAAAAGGCTGCAAGAAGGATGTTGGAGGGTCTCCTGGAGGCTGCCAAGGGCATTTGCTCATGGAGCCCACGTCTCTCCCAGATCCCGGTGGCTGTGATCGGTCATTCCAGCTTCGTGCTGGCTGCAGGTGGATGATGCCCAGCTGGCTGCCGATGACTTCTGCACCAAGTGAGGCTGGGTCTCTGGAGCTGCCCCAGGGACTGGACAAGCTGACCCTGGCCGGAGCCAACCTGGAGATGCAGATTGAGAACCTCAAGGAGGACCTGGTCTACCTGAAGAAGAACCATGAGGAGGTGAGGTGAGCTCAGGGAACGCAGCAGAAATTCACCTGGAAGCAAGCGAGGCTGGGGCCCAGAACCTCCCTGGGCCGGGCCATGTTTTCAGTCCAGTTCCCATCTCTTATGGATGCCCAGCCCTGACCCTCAGAGGACCCTGAGTGAGGCCTGGAGGAGCCTCTCTTCCCAAATAGACTTCATTTGTCCCTTGAGGCTCAGCTCACTGAAGTTAACTAACTAATGAGTAAGTCAGTGTAAGAACACACTATGCTAATTATTATAATTAATTATAATAGTGATAGTCATGAAAACAAGGAACTTCTGCCCAGCACTGCAAATGGCTCAGAGCCATTATCTCAGCTGATACTGCAGGTGGGAGACGGATACTCTTTCCTCCTTTTGACCCGTGAAGAAACTGAGGCTCAGAGAGGTTAAGGGATTTATCTACGGCTGCACAGGGACCCTCCTTCAGGTCTGCTGGACTCGTATCCACTCCCCCTCTCTGCCCCTCTCCTGCCTCTCCTTTCCGGAAGGCCCTAGGTCCCAGGGACTCCAAGGCTTAACCCAAGGATAGCGAGCCAAGGTTCTGCCGGGGCAGCCAGGAGGCCTTACATGCCCTGTCCTGTGGCTTCCTTCTCTGCCGAGCTCCGTGCTGCTCTGAGCTGGGGGAGCCTACTCCCCGAGAAGCGGGACACCCGGAAGGGGTTTCCCCCTGGCTTTGAGGCTGGTTATACTATTGCTTTCCTCCAGCAGATTAACATTTGCTAACGGGGCCTGGTGCGGTGACACCAGTGTTGCTTTCTGCATGCCTGTGCTATGGGGTTGGTGGTGGGGGCAAGGTCAGGGCAGTGAGTGAGGTCGTCCGTGGTCATCCTCCGCCGTCCTGGGGGCTTGTCATCTCTCGGGGCTTAGCACTTGTTGGGGATGGGTGAAGTCCAGTCCCGAGTCACGGTGTGTGTTGGGGGAGGTTGCTGATACTTATAGCCCTGTATGTTTGAGAAGTGACAGCATCCACCTCCACCTTCAGGGTGAGGAGCTGTTGGCCTATCTGTGTCTGTCTGTCTGTCTGTCTGTCTGTCATCTGTACCTGTCTCCTCGAGGTAGAGAAGGCAGGTCCCAGGGTCTTTCCTCAGGATGGCCTTGGGTGAGCTCCTGCTGTACTCTCTGCCCAGGAAATGAACGCCCTTTGAGGTCAGGTGCACGAAGATGTCAGTGTGAAGATGGACACTGTGCCTGGAGTGAACCTGAGCTGCATCCTGAATGAGATGTGTGACCAGGACAAGAAATTGGTGGAGAAGAGCTGCAAGGATGCCGAGGGCTGGTTCTTCAGCGTGGTGGGTGGCCGTGTGTAAGCAGGTGTGCACACGTGTGGGCACATGTGCTGCATGCTGGTGCAGCTGGAACACTGGCAGATCCACAGGCCGTCCCAGTTGGAAGGACTTTTGGAAACCAGTTGGACCAGCCCCTCATGTTTTAGATGTAAAATGTGAGGCTCAGAGAGGACTCATGCTCACACAGCCTTTCACTGTGGCCTGCAAAATAGATCCAGGTCTCTACAAGCCTGGTCTTGGGTTTCCACCACAGCTGTTTACAAGATGTGTGTGTTTGAATACATATACATACCCTTGGCAAGCACAGGCTAAGTGTCTCTGGTGTCCTAGGGACAGCAACAGGCACAAAAGAATAACACCCAGTGCCTGTCTTTGAGGTGCTGCAGTTCGGTGGGAGTAAGAAATGCAAATGACCGCAGAGCAGGCTGAGTTCCTCCAAGTTCCAGTGTGGGTGCAGAGGGTCTCTGTGCGCAGGTGCCTTTGGGGCCCCATAGAGGCCAGGGAAGGGCTAGGGGATGGTTCTGGGAAGTGAGGGTTCGGAGCAGCCCCTTTCCTGTGCCCCACTTCTGAAAGCCTCCTTACTCCCCTGTGGCCCACTCTGTCTTCCAGAGAGAGGGGCTGAACTTCGAGGTGGCCACCAACACAGAGGCCCCACAGAGCGGCAGGACAGAGATATGGAGCTCTACAGCTCTGTGCAGAACCTGAACTGTCCCAGCTCAGCCAGGTAGGGCCTCTGTCCCCTCCCCACCCTGTAGCTGTCACCCCAGGGTGAGCCCAGCCTTGTAGACCCCTGCTTGGAGAACCAGAGTCCCCACCCAGCCTGTCCCTTCACACTCAGTGGCTGGGTGCATTGCCACCCCACTGTGCCGGCAGCACCCACAGCCCCGTACAGTAGGGGCTCCTCTCTAGTGCTCTGCCGTGGGGAAGCGTCCCAGGTCCATCTCATCGCACTACCTATCTCTTGGCCCACAGAAAGCATCGCTGGAGGGCAGCCTGGTGGAGACGGAGGTGTGTTACGGGACCCAGCTGGCCCAGTTGCAGGGGCTCATCAGAAGCATGGAGTAGCAGCTGTGCGAGCTCTGCTGTGACACGAGGACCACGAGCACCAGGTCCTTCTGGATGTGAAGACATGGCTGGAGCAGGAGGTCGCCACCTACCGCCGCTTGCTGGAGGTTGAGGAGGCCCAGTGAGTGTGCACCTGGGTACCTGCTGGGGCGGGCTGGGGGCCCGCTTCGCCCAGGGAGAAGTTGGTGTCTGAGCACCAGCGAAGTCCAGGAGGTGTGAACGTGGGAACCTGTGGGGGTTTGCAGGAGGTGAAACTGAGGATGCAGGCTGGAGTCTGACTGAGGAGCCTTGAATGCCAAGTTAAAGCGTCTGGACTAGATCACGTAGGCAATGGGGAGCCATGGAGGGATTTGGAGCAGAGGAAAGGAAGGAACATCAAGATATTTTAGAACATTCACTCTGGCTGCAGAGGGAGAAATGGATCAGAGGGGTCAGGCTGGGGCCAGAGAGATGCATCGGGGGCTGGAGCAGGGAGCCTGGCCAGAGAAGTCCTGCGTGGGGGGCAGGGGAAGGAAGGTGGTGCATGCAGAAGAGAGGTTATAGCTCAAAACAGCAGGACTGCATGCCTGGATCTTGGGGTGAGCGTGGCTCACAGTCAGGACTCAGTAAGTGTCAGGTGAACACATGAAGGAGTGGGCATTGATGGCCCTGGGTTTCTGGTTCCGATGACTGTGTGAGTGGTGATACCATCAGCCCCAGGGTGAGGAGCAAGGTGGGCGGTGGTCGGGTTTTCAGTCGGGAAGGGGGGTCAGGCCTCCCGTTGACAGCGTTCTGGAGTCTCCATGCTTAGTCACACGTTGCAGCTTTTTGCTCCCCGAAAATGGTGAAGTCCATCTATAGTCTCACCACAGTGTCTCCTGCTTTAATTGGGTTTATTTGTTGGGTCCTCTGGGATATGGAAAAGCTACTTGCTCTGCTTCTCCTTGTAAATTCCTGGTGAGTAGTCACACAGTGCTGCTGGGCCTACGCTGTGCATTTCTTTTTCTTCTTCCCGCTGCGCGGGGCCCCTGCCCTTTCATTCCTGGGCCTGTGCTGATTTCTGTGCATTCCCAGCTGCCATTTTTCACCAATTTGGGGGAACCTCCTCTGCCAGGGCCTGCTTCTCCCCAGCAGTGCTTGCAGGGGCCTGGGCTGGCTGGCATCCCCGGGCTGATGGGTGCTCCTCTCCCTGCAGGCTGGCCACTCAGTACTCCTTGTCCCTGGCCTCACAGCCCACCCGGGAAGGTAAGAAGCTGCCCTGTCCTGCTGTGTGGACCCCAAGGCAGGGGAGAGGCTGAGGACCCTTCTGTGTGTGAGACTGGGGGGAACACAGACTGGGGGACAGGTAGGGGGAAGAGCTCCTGCCTGATGTTCCCTGCGCCCCCCCGCCTCCATCGCCTGTAGCCACAGTGACCATCTACCAGCTGTGCCATCGTGGTGGAAGTCCAGGTTGGAGAGGTGGCCTCCTTCTGTGAGCAGATCCAACTCTCCACCACCGAGGCCCCTTTCTGCCTGTGACAGCCCCACCTCACGGGCCACGGCACAGCCCTCAGCTCCAGCTCCAGCATGATGCTGCCATGCCCCGAGTGTCCAACTGGGCCCCGGTCCATGGCCTGTGGTCTTTCTGTATCTGCTTCCTGTAGCCCCACACTGAGGAGGCCTCCTGGGTTTGTCCAGTGCCTGCTATTAAAGCTTTGCCCCAAGTTCAATGCCTCGTGTGATCTGGTCTATTCATTGGTTTGGGGCAGTGTGGGCTGAGGGACTGGGGGAGGTGGAGAATTTACTGAGTGTTTGGGTATCGGCTTGTCACCTGCCAATCTGTGCTGCCCACTCCATCCAGGCCTGGGACTCCTGGGAAGATGAGACGGGAGGAGGCGGAAGGATTAAGGGTGGAGGGATGGGACAGCCCCTTGTATTGGGAAAAGTTTCTAAGAATCAGCCCCTGAGTCCCTGTCACCTGTGGCTGGTCCCTGGGACGGCCACACAGACTTTCCAAGGACCACGCCTGTTGGGGAGCACTCCCTGCCTCAGCCCGGGGCGCGTTCGAGAGCAGAAAGAGAGGGGCTCGGTGGGGAGGGACTTCTGAAGGAGTGGTCCAGGGCATTGATGAGTGAGAGGGGGTGGCAGCGACGCAGCCAGCCCAGGAAACCAGACCGGCTCTGCCCAGCCCGGGTGTGTGTGTGGGGTGGGGTGGCCGCTGTGCGTGTATGCGTGGGGGGCGTCCTGTTTGCTTTGGTGGCTTGGCAGCCACTGGGCTATTGAGGAATCTCTTTCAGCTGCTGGCGGGGCTGTCTGGGCCTGTCTGGGAAGTAGAAGCCATCGGCAGTCTGAAATATGACCACATTCCACCCAGCGGGCCTGGAGGGACCCTGGGACCCAGGGCCGGGCTTGGGGTGGTGGGCAGGGAAGGGTGGGGCTGTGGGGTGGGGCGCATGGCACACCTGAGGAGCCACATTTTGGGGAGCCTGGAGTGGGGAGGGGGCTGGCTGGGGTCTCAGTAAAAGCCTCTTCTTGGGCAATATACTTTAGGTTTCCTGTGGGCTGAGACCTGAGATAAATGCCCCTCACCTGACCCTGAGGTCTCTTGGGGTACAGAAGGGTGAGGGGAGTGGAAGGGGGCATCCCCCTCTCAGTTGGTTTAGATCCTGTCTTAGCACTGCCCACCATTTCCCCATCCTATAGCTGAGCCCCTGTTTACCCACCCCAGCCCTGGGGTGTAAACCTGGGGAAAGGTCTACATGAGGAGACTGGGTTAGCAAGGGCTTCTCGGGATGGGGCAGGGTCAGAAGCTGACTGGATGGAACTGTAGCCCCTAGAGTGCTTTTCTGAAGGGGCCATTGTGGACACTGCACCCCTCTGGAGCCCCAATTTCTTTATCTGCGACGTGGGTTGGTCTCCGAGGCTTGATGGCATTTCTGTGCTGTGAGGTGGGCCTGGTGGGTTTGGGCTCCGTTTCCAAGGCAGGATAGGCTCTCAGTCCCCTCTGTCTCTTCAGCACCCAGCCCCGGGCCAGCACCGTGGGTGGAGCAGTGTGGGGTGAAAGACAGCAACTTCAGGGGGGTCACCTGACACTGCAACTCATTTCCCCACCAGACAGGGTTGAGGCGGGCCGGGCTGGGGTGGTGGCTGCCTGGGAGGGCCTGGGGACGGTGACGTCCTGCCTTCTGCTCTTCTCCGTATTAGGTCATGGGAAAGCATAGCTGGAGGGCCCGCCTGAATCACAGGTGACGGGCCTGAGACCAGAGGCACGCACACGCACACGCACGGCACCGAGCATGAGGATTTGGAGAAATGAGGCAAATTCCTGATGATGGGCGGGGAGGGGGCCCCCAGCCACCTGGAAGCTGGCAGGTGGCCAGTGGTGATGAAAACCCAGGGGAATGGAAACAGAGGAGCAAGCCTGTTGTAATCGCTACGCCCACTTGGTGGCCTATAAAGGAAGCGGGCAAACCCCGGCAGCCCTACACACCTTGGGGCCCCTCTCCTCTCCAGCCCTTCTCCTGTGTGCCTGCCTCCTGCCGCTGCCACCATGACCACCACCATCCGCCAGTTCACCTCCTCCAGCTCCATCAAGGGCTCCTCCGGCCTGGGGGGCGGCTCATCCCGCACCTCCTGTCGGCTGTCTGGCGGCCTGGGTGCCGGCTCCTGCAGGCTGGGATCTGCTGGAGGCCTGGGCAGCGCCCTCGGAGGTAGCAGCTACTCCAGCTGCTACAGCTTTGGTTCTGGCGGTGGCTATGGCAGCAGCTTTGGGGGCGTCGATGGGCTGCTGGCCGGAGGTGAGAAGGCCACCATGCAGAACCTCAATGACCGCCTGGCCTCCTACCTGGACAAGGTGCGCGCCCTGGAGGAGGCCAACACTGAACTGGAGGTGAAGATCCGTGATTGGTACCAGAGGCAGGCCCCAGGGCCCGCCCGTGACTACAGCCAGTACCACAGGACAATTGAGGAGCTGCAGAACAAGGTAAGGCCTGCTGGTGGGAGGGGTCTCCGGGGGGCATGACGTCTTCCCCCCAACTCCTGCCCTGGCCAAAGGCCTGGAGTCCAGCCACAGGGCCTCAGGGAGCCAAGGGTGGTTTGGCTGTGGCTTAGCTTCTGGGAACCTGCCTTGGGGCCCCTGTGTGGCCCACATCCCCCTTTTCTGAGGGCAGCAGGCTGAGTCACGAACAAACAGGCCTCGTGGAGCCCCTTGGAGCCTCAGTTTCTCCCTCGTGGAGCTCCTCCACCTGGAGAGGTTGTAGGATGAGGCAGGAGGATGCAGAGGGAGGGCTGGGCCCCTGGGCCGCTGGATGCGTGGTGTCTTGCTCCTTTGGAGCAGGGGTCAGCAGGAGGGGGTTTTGGGTGATGTGGAGTGGGGGTGTCTGAGTGAGCTCCTGATAGCACCTGCTGCGGGGGGAGGTCCCTGTGGGGCGGGACCTCAGGGTGGGGAAGGCCTCTGATGTGCCTTATTTGGGGATTTTTCTGGCTTCTTTTTTCCTCCTGCTGTCCCTTAAGACGGGCTCAGCAAACCCCAGGGGGCGGGGCTGCTGGCTGGAGCCCAGGGTTAGGGATTAGGAGGGATCCTGACTTCTGATCTGGAACCACTCTTTGGTGAGGGCTCCTTTAACCTCCTTTCGGGGAAGCCTGTCAGGGGCACCCTCTAGCTGGCTGTGAAACGAGGGGATTGCCCACATCCCCTCCCTTGTTCTAGAATTCTGGGACAGCTTCTGCCTGGGGACATTTTCCCATTCTTTTCTGGTTGCCTCATACTCCCAGCCAGCTGAGCCTGGCTTTAGGGGTCTGGTGGGGGAGGCAGGTACTGAGTAGGTACCTGCCTTTAAGGCTGAGCCTGGCATGGGGGTCTGGTGGGGGAGGCAGGTACTGAGTAGGGGGAAGAAGAGGCACCTTTCAGCCCTTCAGACTCCTGCTTGCCCCTCCTCTGCCAATAATACAGCACAGGGCAAGGAAGGGACTGGGAGGGAAGAGAGGCCCCCAGGCAGGAAGATCTGCTCAGAATGCTGGTGTGGGCTCAGCCACCCCCATCCAATGACCTGACTACTCTCCCATCTCCTCAGATCCTCACAGCCACCGTGGACAATGCCAACATCCTGTTGCAGATCGACAATGCCCGTCTGGCTGCTGATGACTTCCGCACCAAGTGAGTCCTGGCCAGTGGGCTTGGGCAGCCCGGGCCAGCTCAGGGAGGATCTCGGGGTATCCCTCCTGACCCCAGGACTCCTCGGTTGCTTGTGGCAAGGCCCAGGAGCTCAGGGTGGGGCAGTCCTAGGAGCCCCACTCCTTAGTCCAGGATGCAGGGAAGGCAGCCAGTTCTGAAGGTTGCTGGGCTTAGGCAGGGAATAGAAGAGAGGGAGGGGAGGTGGGAGGCGTAGAGAAGTAAGGAAGCTGGTGGGCGTGGGATCTGGCCCTGTGATGGTCCCCGGGCCCCAGGACTGGAATTCGTTTCCACTCGACCTTCTCATCAGCCCTTCCAACCCCTTAGAGTCCTAGCAAAATGAAGGCAGGTGAGCAGCCAGGACCTGGACCTGCAGGTCCAAGCAGCCTGGGCTGAAGTCTCTGATTCCCACGGCAGGTTTGAGACCGAGCAGGCCCTGCGCCTGAGCGTGGAGGCCGATATCAATGGCCTGCGCAGGGTGCTGGATGAGCTGACCCTGGCCAGAGCCGACCTGGAGATGCAGATTGAGAACCTCAAGGAGGAGCTGGCCTACCTGAAGAAGAACCACGAGGAGGTGAGGTGGCTGGGGCAGAAGGTCAAAGAGGCTGAGGAGTGGGTGGCAGAGCCCTGGGGCTGGGCCATGGCTGAGGCCGTGGGAGAGAGCAGAGCAGGCGCATGGGATTAGTCACCTTAGAGGGCTTCCCTGTCTGCAGAGCCCTGATCCTTGGGGTCCAGCGTGCAGGGTAGACTCCTCTTTGTACTACACGGCTTCTCTGTACCCAAGGAACCTCCTAGGGGCCCTCAGAGGCTCCCTCTACCTGCTCTGGCCTACCTCACGAGGGCAGGGGATAAGTAAGGAAGTCTCCTTCTTGTTCCATTTCAGACTCTCAAAGCTGAACATCTACAGAGAAGCTTGGAAATTAGAGTGGAAATTTTTGGGGCCTAGGTCTAATAATTAGATTTTAGTTTGGAGAGCCCTTGGTCTAATGGGGGAGATAGAGTCTGATGGTGGAGATAATACTGAGCAGATGAATAAAAATCATTTAGAGGGTCAGATAGAGCAGAGGGAGAACAAAGGAGGGGTCCTGGTGGGGAGTGGGGTCCCCTTGTGGGGAAGGCTTGGGAGTGAGAGGTCAGGATGGGTGCAGATGTGCACACCCACATCCCGTTTTTCCATAGGAGATGAACGCCCTGCGAGGCCAGGTGGGCGGTGAGATCAATGTGGAGATGGACGCTGCCCCAGGTGTGGACCTGAGCCGCATCCTGAACGAGATGCGTGACCAGTATGAGAAGATGGCAGAGAAGAACCGCAAGGATGCCGAGGATTGGTTCTTCAGCAAGGTGGGGGCTGCTGCAGGCCAGAGGTCTCTCTTAGGGGCTGGGGCTCGGGGGCCTTAGCACTGACAGTAAGCCACGGCCAGGTGTCTTGGAGGTGCCCCCTCCTCAGTAAGCTGCATGGATCACAGGATCACCCGCTGCATCAATGGACCTGGAGCTGAGCTCAAGCTGGGATCTGGGGGGTGGCGGGGAGATAGGGAGCCCCCACAGAATAAAGGCAGA